CGTCTCACCACACATCTGTCCATGGTGTCGTTTCAGTTTGAGGGAGATCTCCTATTTCTACAAACCATTAAGTAACAGTGTACATGTGTTTATGTGTGTATGTTTGTAACCAATCCTGAGTATCTGACAATAAAAACCAACGCCACGACTCGCCACTAAAAGGTCTCGCTTTAAAAATAGCCATACTGTATTGAGTTACAGTCAAGTCGATGCAGTGTTTGCCATTAACAGAGCCTTAAAAAATAGCAGATACACCGTGTGCTGGAAAGCTAATGAAAAAAAATTAAAAGATAGGCCTAAACTGCACTTTACCTGGACTTCCATGCCCAGACTTTGAAAGTAAAAAAAAAAACTGCTTAAAACTTCATTAATTAAAACATAATTTTTTTAAACTATGGCATGAAGAAAAATGGAACATGAAAATCAAAGAGCTAAATCTGGATATTTTTCAGTGTTTGATTAAATCTGTAAATAGATTTGTGAAATTTGGATTGAATGTTTTTGAGTGAGACAAACCAACAAATAGCACAAAATCACACAATTCATATGCATTAAATAGTTGCTAATATTTACTGATGTCTGTGCTGTGCTGTGCTGTACCAAAATGATGTCACTTCTTGGAGAAGGATGTCATTACCGAATTAGCTTTTTTTAGGAATTGTATAAAAGACTATAGGATGGAAAGTGAAATTAGTGATTTTAGTTTTGTTTGAAAATGTTTGAATACAAAAAAAGAAAAAAAAATGAAGAAGCACATGGAGTATTAATTAATAAATAGTTTTTTCATTTTAGAAATTAGTAGGAATGAGCCGACCTCATAAACCGTAAGGTTTTTTATTTCTTGTCATTTCTTCTGCGATTCCAGAGTTTGCTTTTTTGTAAGGCTCATATACTAATTATTCTGTAAGGCTTAAACAAATCAAACACTGTAGTGAATTATATTTGACTTCATACATCTACTTGTCCTTGGATTCTGAGGAACGTGAAGTTGTTCATTACACTCAGAAAGTGTCTGTTCTTCTCTATTATTCCTCAGGGATTAACAGTGTCATCTGCAGAGTTTGCTTACAGCACAAAAATGATACCTGTTAATTTACTTTCAACTAGAAACTACTCCAAACTACTGCAAAATGACAAGACAGAGATACATTTTAGTCTATGATTAAATCTACTCTGATCTCTGTTTTCCCAGTCTGGAATCATGCCTCTGTCAGGAACACCAGCTCCACCCAACAAGAGGAAAAAGCTCTCCAAGATCATCACTGACCTGTCACACATAACCCAAGATGGTAAAACACCCACAACTTCAGCTTTATGCTTGATTTTTGCGTAATCATTCCATACTTCCAAACTTATTAGGCAGCTTAAAAAATGTCACCTGAGATAATACTTTTTGATTGTCAGGAAAGTTATGGTTATAAAGTAATGAAAGGGAATTACAGTACAATTTGAAGCTACTGTTTTCTGTTTTAATATATTTTATAATGTAATTTATTCCGAATTTTTAGCAGTCATTATCCAGTCTTCAGTGTCACATAATCCTTTAGAAATGATTTTATTATGCTGAGTTGGTGCTCAGCTGTTATTGGGCACTCAGTCATGAATAATGGTTATTATTGTTATCAGTTTTTTGCTGCTTAAAATTTTTGTGGAAACAACATTTTTTCAGGTTTCTTTGATTAATAAAAAGTTCAAAAGAACAGCATTTATTTGAAACATATGTAGCATTCTAAATATTTACTATCCCTTTTAAATCAATTTAACGTGTCTTTGCAGAATAAAAGTATTATTTTTTTCATTTCTTTTTTTTCTTAGCTAATTTAAACCAAACTTTTGAAATGGTAATGTTTCACAGTTTCTACAAAAATATTAAGCAGCACAAATATTTTCAGCATTAATAATTAATAAGTAAGAAATATTTCTCGAGTACCAAATCAACATATGATTTTCATAAGATCGTACAGAAGACTGGAGTAATGGTTGCTGACAAATCAGCTTTGAAGAATCACAAGAAATATAGTTTAAAAATATTATTTTTTTAAATAACATGCTTTTAAATTGTAATAATATTTCATAACATTATTCACTGTATTCACTGTCACTTGGTGAACATTAGAGACTTCTTTCAAAAACACTATATATTCATGTCAAATTTTAGAAAGCTTTGCTTAGAATAACATGATTCTAAGGTCTGGGACTAAATAACAGGATTTTCATATAATTAAAGAGTGTGTTTGTTTAGCCTTCCTGAAAGGTGAGAAGGTGTCTTCTTTGAAAGATGTTATTAAAGAGATTAGACTATGGACATGCCATAACACAGACAGTATACAACCTGCTCAGCCTTATAAGGTTTCACAAACTGTTTATTGGGAACATCATCTTCATTTCAGGGCCTGTCACTAAGGTTTCATGCTTTTGGATTTAATATGTTTTAATGAGTAGTAATATATCGGCAACAACAAGCATATTTTAGATTTCATAGCTGAAATGTCAGCTGTGTCTCTGATTATTACCGGAGAACCTCTCCCTCCCCTTCATCATTATAATCATGGGACATTTACTCCACTGAAAGAACGTGTCTCCAGCCAAAATTAAGTCTAATTGATATGTTCTTTTTTCATGCTTTTGAATGTGAGTGAAAAATTGTTGTTGTGGAAGAATGGAGAGACTCTTGCAATCCTGATACATGTTTAAATGTTTTTCCTTAAGGCAGCATTATTTTGATATGAGGAAACAGTCACTTATTCCATGCAGGGATGTTAAATCTACTGCATAGACTTGATAACGTTCAAATGATTTTATTGTTTATATTAATACTGTTATGAACATTTCCAAGGAACTGTGGGTGATTTTCCAGCACAAACAGTGGGTGGTAGGATGACTAATATCTATTTAGTTACTGTTATGATTACAATGCAGGAAAAATAGATACATCTGTATAAATATGAATGACGACACTTGATACTAGAGAATCCGGGACATTTTTTTTTCTTCCCAAGCATGGTCTGGACAGTTAAAGTACATGTGAGAGTATTACAATGCTGCTTGTACTTTGTTAATATACATTTCATTTACTAGTTTGCCAGATACTTTTGATCTGAAAATTGATTGTGGTGTTTTGTAAAGGAATTAGACTCAGAATTCTGTCATTAAATGATAAACATAAAACTAGCATATTAGTGAATAACGACTCTTTTTGTTTCCTAGAGTATGAATCAGAGCCTGAGGCCTCAGAATTTGACTTGGGGAAAAAGATCAGGGCACCCAAGGATATCATGCTGGAGGAACTATCCCTAATGAAGAACAAAGGCTCCAAGATGTTCAAGATGAGGCAGATTCGTGTGGAGAAGTTCATCTATGAGAATAATCCTGACCTCTTCAGTAGTGAGTCCATGGTAAGGCAGGCAAAGAGCTATCAACATCTGTGTATTTGTTGTCAGATTATTTGCTTTAAATGATCATTATTCCTAAATCTCAGTGTTCTACATTCATCCTATTCTGATTCTTTATTTCTTATTTAAATGTAACATTCCAAGCGTGATTTGAATGCTGATTTGGAAACTCTATGTTACTTTGTGTAAAGGATAACCTCCAAAAGTTCGTGCCCAGCCTAGGGGGCCAGATGATGGATGTTGGTGGCCGCCTGATTGGTGGACAGATGGCTGGCCAGGCTGGTGGAGCTGGCCAAGCACCAGTGCCTCCTCCTAAACCCGGAAGCTATGGAAAGGAAGCAGGGGGTGGGCTGCAAGCAGGTGGGCTCGCTGGAGGTGCCGGAGTGGCAGGAGGAGCAGGGGGGAAGGATGGTGTGTCAGGAGATGCCTCACGGAGTGAGTAGGAACCCAGATGGAGACCTTTATACACTAGCCAGCTCACCCACACTAGAAACTGCCATGGAGACTCACCATGAAACTTGTGTTAAACAGGGTTATTATCGTTATCTAAAACTAAAACTACTCTGTAAACAAAACAAAACAAACAAACAAAAATAAATAAAAGTAAAAAAACTAGTAATTTTCTGCCATTAATTTCAATAATTTTATGGCCATTTCCGTTAACCGTAAAACACAATTTAATGAAGTGCAAAATTCAAACTACAGGTAAAACACCTGTAAAAGATTTAAGAAAAGAAGCCCTAGATTTATGGATTTTTTTACAGTGTATTAAAAACTGAAATAAAATAAAAAACATATATTAGATGAAAAACTTAAACTAATAGAAAATTAGAAATGTTGCTTTGGCAACTGAAGTTTAAGTTGAAGCAGTAAAATTAAAACTAAAACCGAAATAAAAACAAATGGAACCTACATAGCAATATTTAAAAACATAAAAAACTAATAAAAATGACATAAGCATATTACAAAATGTTAAAAAATGAAACTGCAATTAAAATGTAAACTAAATATAAAATAAAAGCCAATTCAAAAACCAAACCAATGAAAATATAAACTATACAAATAAAGCCAATGGAAATTCTAATAGTATATAAATAATACTAAAATCATTTTTTTTTGTTAAAGGGACAGTTTTCCCATAAATTTAAATACTCGCCCTCATGTCATTACAATCCTTTTTTTTTTTGACTAATGACTTTCATTGTGTGGACAAAACCAGTCATACAGATTTGGAATATTGAGGGTAAGTAAATGATAGAAGACAGAATTTAAATTTTTGAGTGAACTATGTCTTTAACTAATGGAACACTCACACTTTTACTTATGGAATGCATTTACTTTCAATCAGTTTATATTTCTCTATAGGTGAGGAACGTTCTAAGGCTGCTTTGGAAAAAGCAAAAAAGAGGGCCGCATATGTGAATACATACGTTTCCCCTTGGGAACGGGCTATGAAGGGCAATGAAGAACTTGTAGCCACAATGAAGGGTCAAATGCCAGGACCCTGCCCTCAAAAGGAGCTGCGCAAATATAAGTGCTTCAACAGGTGCAGCTGCATTTCTTGGTATAGGCTGGACAATCTGCCTCTCCTCTTTTCCTTTGCATGCAACAATAGTACTTTTTCAGACCTATGGTTTCCTTTTTGCCTTTAATTGGTCAATCTCTTTTTAGGAGTGCTCTGCCTTATGGAGGTTTTGAGAAGGCCACACAGCTGATGACCTTCCAGCTGCCAGACATCGAGGTGGCCACTGAGGAGCCTGAACCGGCAGTGGTGTACCATCATGATATCGGTTCACGACCCTCTTTCAACCGCACACCCATCGGCTGGGGGGGCAGTGGTGAACCAGGCAGCATTCACATGGAGTTGGATACTATACCATTTGATGGGGAGACTGACGACCTGTGAACCTACAACCCTAAAAAAAAAAAAAAAAATGTATACCTGTCCTAATTACCCTGCACTCTAATAACCAGATACACACACACCTGTGCACAGTCACAATGCAACAATCCATCAGGAGAATGGCAAACCTCTCTCACTGTACATGTAACTTTGAATCTAAATCTGCCTCTGAATGTGAGCTTTAAACAAAGAAATGTATTTGTGGAGGATTTTATTTTTTTTGCATGAAGCATACCAACTTAAATTAAGGATTCAGGTGGAGACTGAAGTTTTGATTTGCTTGTTATGTTGCCAGCATGTTGCACTTTAGAAGTGAACAAATGAGCATGATGTCTCTTCGGCAACAATGTCATGTTAGCACTCTCAGTGATGGACTGCTTGGCACATGCTGCTTTTTTTCTGTCACTTACATAAAGGTAAACAGTTTTGACTGCATAATCTGTAACCTCCCTTTAAATAAACTAAAGTCCCATTTTACAATTTCATTATGGTGTCATTTACACGAGTAAATACAGATTATAGTCATGATCATCATGTATTTATGATTATAATGTTGTGGAACATACACAGTTTCTGCTATAGTACATTACTATTATTACATGTAACATGAGCACATTATGCATATTAATATACTAATCATATCCATGTCTTCACAAACATTAATGCAAAAATTCAAAAATAAAAACTCTAAACTACTGTCGTCACACCACTACGTGCCCATTCTTTAATAAATGATTGATTGCTTATATTTTTGTTGTGGTCTTTCGTGAATAAACTGTGTCGTTTGTGACTATAATTAAATTGGGAAGCATAAAGTGGGTCATACGTATATTTGCCTGTGTTTTATGGTACTAATACTAACCACAGCCAGCAGGTTGTAAGCAATATTTCATGAGGACTTTCACAATCAATTTTATGAGCCAGTTCTTTTTAGTGAATGAAAAATGTGCAATGCAAGTGTTCAATTCTCGAACAAATTACTTGCATGAATCAGTTCTCTTTAAAGCATTAAAATAAATATATAAAATAACAATAACTGAATTAATGTGACTCACAAATCTACCGAACATGTAGGCTACTTAGTTTTTATTTTGTCAGGTCTGACTCAAAATAACCAAGAACTGTTTCTTTATTTAAATATGTCTGAAATTTTTAGTATAATAGTAGGATTAAAAAAAAAAAAAAAAAAAGAATGTCACCCTGTGTCATCGCTTGGTATTCTGGGCTCCTTGTAGAGTTACATTGCAAAGAATCATTTCCCAAAAATGTACTAAAAGTCGTTAATGGAATCGTCAATGATGTCGTTCAAAAATTAACGATTCCCATTAGTACTTATGAACCCCTGTATTTACAACCATCCCAGGCTACGGCCAGTCTCCTCACACTCCGTCGACACCTGAAACGCCAAACATCGCGAGAGTTGGTTGCCTTGGCTGCAGCACACAGTGACGCCGAGGGATGTTTAAGGTTTAGCGGCAGAAAATAACAGATTTTTACCCTGCCGACCAGCCAGGAGGAAGATGCATACTGCAAGGTAAGGAAACCCTCCTTTCACCATCCTATCGAAGCAGTGGCTGTTCCACCGACATGAAAAAGGGCAGAGAAGACGTTTTGCTGTGTGAGTTGGGAAGTTAAGACGTAGCTGCTCTTCCACAGGCATGTGCTGATCTAGTAAACAAACATAGGGATGCATCACCGTCCTAACAAATGGATTTAATCATTTACGCAGCACGGCGTATTTCAAATCGGCGTTTTCTTTTTTTTTTAGCTACGCTTCTCCGAGAGAGTTGTATTGTAATACAGGCATAGTGCGAAGGAGACGCTATATCTCACATGCAGTAATGTGCTGACGAAGCTGTGCACACTGTGCGTTGTGGCGAACGCAACGCTGCGCATCTAGAAGTTCGCCACGTAGTAGAATTAACCACATGGTCGAGCCTCGACCGTGTCGATGCATGCATCAATTCTATCATACATGGCAAATTACGCATGCATTTTCAAATTTTTTATTTTCTATAACGTTTTAATACAGCCTACATCACAGAAAAAAAAGGATATTGTATATTTGGAGGTGATTTATTGCTGGTCCCGTCTTGTGCATTTTAACTTACCCAGCATAAGACCATATGCTCATCATTTTCAGTGACGTAGCGGTTTCTCATCTTTTCAATACACTTGATTGTCCTCTAGCCGCCAATGTCATCTGGTGGCGTTTCAGAGGCTGTGCAGGTGAGAGGCAGAGAGAGTGAGATGTGTAGGTCATTCAGGTGTGCTGAAAGACTATCTATCTTCGTTAGTGCACTTTCAGCATCTCCATATGAGTGCATGAAATAGATTTTGTAAAGTTTTGAACAAAGCATCTATCTATCTATCTATCTATCTATCTATCTATCTATCTATCTGTGGTTCATTATTTTTGGATTTGTTGTTTGTCTGGAGACAGACACATCTGCTTTGAGATCTATTTATTCCTATTACCTACTGTTCTGAGGAAATTACAAGATAATAAAACCATAATAGCATTCATAAACTTTGGATTTTCTTCCTATATTGAACAGAATGAGTAGAGTTTAATGAGTTGGTTTATTTGCGTGCACAAAAATCAAGTTAGTTTTCAGTGTGTGATGGTGTTACATAAACAAGGAGGAGATGTCTCTATTAACACAGCGAAGAGGAGTGATCAAAATAGACACCCCTCCATCTAAACCTTCCCTTTATGTTCTCTCGTCACTCTTCCTTTAGCAATGTCTCTGTGAAAAGTAAATAAGAGCCCTGGCATGCATGCAAAAGAAGCCTACTAATTGTTATGTAAAATTGAGAAATGAATAAATTAACATACTGATGGTCACTCCTCGAGGGCCTACGCTCCCATGTATTCATCAGCAGACAGAGCCTTCAGTCTGGCTAATTGGTTGGGGGTGTATGGGATTCCTGTAAATTTCACAACATGCTTTTAAGGGCTTATGACGGGAAGGTACAGAAAAGCCCTTGAGGGCAACTTTTATTAAACTTCTCAAGGTAAAGGAACATTTGAGCTGAGTGGGGGACATTCATGTGTAAATCAAAACTCTGTCTTCATTTGATATTAGCCAAAGTCGTTTCTTTGTGAGAGCAGTTTTCCTGCTTGATCAAGCCCCCAGTAGAGTCTGGCTGCAGATATGCACTCTCAGCTCACATGCACTCCTCTCTCTGTGATGGTATATGCACTCACTCTATGCAGAGGAAACCCAAATAAGCTGCAGTCTGTTCATGCCAAACAGAATTTAACAACAGATTGTCATAGAAACGCGTAATGATTCTACTATTTCATATACTCTTCCATATGTATGGTGAATGATAATTCTTCTCCATATAGATGCACTCATAATGATGCTGTAATGTTTTTCCTGTTGCTTTCATCAGCACTGGTCATGATGAACCAATCACAGTCATTTGTGATTACAGGTTAAGACAATTTACGGAAATGACAGGGCAGAGTCCCTTTTGTATGACAGGTACCAATACTTTTTTAGTATACTGTGTGTACATAAGACAAAAAAGTGACGGGATTTCTTTGCATCCCAATGGCACAATTTTTATAGTTTTTTTTTGTTTTTTTATGAAAGGTATAAGCAGCTTATATATTAATTTTTATGCCTGTGTAGATTATTTTTTAATATAATGAACTTTGAGGATTTTATAACAAAAATAATAAGAGTTGTTTTTTTTTCGTATAGTCTGCAGCCCAGTAAAACGTGTCATGGACAGTGAGGAGAATTTATTGAGACTGACACTGCTGCTGGCATTGCACATGTAGTTGGTTTATTGCTTTTCAGTTTGCAAGTCTCACAGCAGTCAGTGTAAATAATCTTGCACATTTGGACTGTCATCGCCTGTCAATATTACACAATATCCTAACAGAGACAAACTTGCATGAATTGCATATTACAGACTAAAATCTTAAACAGACTGAGTAAATTCCAATAAATAATCACGCGTACGGTTATGACTTGTAAGTGGCAAAACTCTTGTACAAGAATAATGCAGCCAGAACCGCATTACTTCTTTTTCACAGTGATACAAGTCTCGCTATATAACGGCTTTGGTCATTTTCTAATGGACAGTTTCCCTAAAAGGTATTTGAACTTTTAATTCACACTTAAAAATGTATGAATTTTATTGCATTGGTAATAAAGTATCAAACCAACAATTGTGGCTTAACTGTCCAAATATGATTTGTTGCCACTGTGTCAGTGTGTCTTTGTAGGATTTTAATGGCTATGTGTTTTCTAGTTTTTGTCTGTATTGCCCTTTTGTTTCTTATTCTTTATTAATTGTTTGTAGAAAGCGAAATGAAGAAAGAATAATGCTTTCAGCAGTCCAGCTCTCTTTCGAGTGTTGCTCACACGCACCTGCCTGTTTCTCATTAAATTCTGTCTGCTGGCCTGTAGCTGATAGTGAGGCCCTCCTCTTACATGTAACCTGTGTGACAGTCTGGATCATTATGTAACAGTCTCTGAAGCCACAAGACTTTAAAAAACTTTAAACCTGCAAGGTTCTTTCTGTATAAATGCGTACAGTGAATTTTGAAGTTACTCAGTTAGCCATTACTCAAGTCTTCATGTGTCACATGATCCTTCAGAACTAATTTTAATATGCTGATTTGGTGCTCAAAAAATGTTTCATATTATTATTACTGTTTGTGGTGTTTAATATTTTTGTGGAAACCATGATATATTTTCTCATGATTTTTTGGATGAATAGAAAGTACATTTGAACTAGAAATCTTTCGTAAACATTATTAATTTGTTTTTACACTTTTTCTTCTTTTTTTTTACGATTGTTTTGACACTTTTTGTGGTCAATTTAGTTCGTCTTTGCTAAAAAAAAAATATGATTCATTTTATATTAACTTAAAAAAGGTTAAACTGACCCCAAACTTTTGAATGATTGTTTAACATTTGTATTTTGTATTAAAGTCCCAAGGTCTTTTAAAGTGTGGATTTAGCATACATATACTTTTTGTGACCACAGTATGTAGTTAGTAGTATTTATACTTGTATTTTCTACATGCTGTGCAAAAGTTATGTG